AGAGTTCTGCCCTTTCAGAAATTTGAAATCAAATTAGTCAGAAAAGATTTTGACTGGCCATCGCTTTTCCTGCCACCACCAAAGCAGAACTTATCTGATCCTGTCTTTGCCTACCAATGAAATGCTGGGACTTTAAGATGAGCACCCGGAGTTTCCGCCTCTCTCTACTGAGCAAGATATACCCAAGCCATAACTTACAGGAAAGCATATAGGCGAGAGAAGGCTGAATTCTATGGCCAAAACAAGACTGTTGGTAAAATGGGAGTTGGGTATCATTTATAATCAGTTTTACTTCAGCTGTTGAGTGAGCTTGTTCCAGTTCTATATGCTTCTACTTTCACAAGAAGTCTGAGCTTCCAATAATCACATTCTGACTCAAAGTTTCCCTAAACACACAGACACATTACAGTAGGGTGGATTGGCAGCCACAGGCTACTGTGGAGTTTGAGAACAGGAGAGGACTTCAGGGCATGGCAGATGAAGTTCTACTGTTAACTTATCTATAAAAGGAAGACTAAACTAATTCTAAACAGGGACAGTGTGGAGAGAATCTGATTTTTATTTTAAGTAGAGAAGCAAGCAGTTCAGTAAATGTCTACCCACTGCGTAAGAACAGAATAACATGAACCAAAATTGAAGGTGAAGCTAAGGAAGGGAGAACACACACTTGATACAAATTTTGCTAAACATATACCTTGGATAATTGATTTGGAACCCTTCAAGAGCATCAGCTGAAACCAGCCAAGGCAATAAACATCTACCCTTTAAACTGTCATTCTTAAAATACACGCTTGGAAAAAAAAAGTGTAGAGTATTGCATTTATGCCTTCTTAAGTTGGAGTAACAGCTGCAGGCTTTTCAGAGCTCTTTAAAGGAGCCTGCCAAGAAACAATATGATCATTGATTTTATGAGCTGATAACAGTGAAGGAATTTGTCTTAGAGGACAGGTGCTTCAATCCATGAATCTATCAATTCGTCAATGCTTTGTAAGACCCTTTATCTTTTCATGTAGCTCCCAAAGCAAAGTGACAATAGAAGGCTCAAATACTTTATATCCTTATTCTTGGAATAATACCAAGAAGTTTCTATCCTCCTTACTGTGAAATTTCAATCTGAATCAAAGAAAGGCAGGAAACTTTGATTTAATATGAAATTTGACTTTTTTTCTACTCGTGGGCATAGTTGTCAGGACAATACTGTCAAGGTGAAAAATAATGAACAGATAATTACAAAAAGATTTGCTTCTCCTCCTCAGGTGATGATGATTGATGTACAGCCGAAAGCACCACCAAGGAATAGAGTCCTTGTATTCAGAAAGGCAGCTGAACAGTAAGTCAAATAAGGAACTTGCAGACACAGCAGTCATTGAATATACACCACAGCAATTTTATAAACACATTAAACTGTAACAACTCATACCACCAAACAGTGTACCTGCAGCAAAGCATGCTCCTCCCCCTCACTTAGGCACCTCTAACTTTTCAAGGGTCTCTGATGACAAAGAACTATTCAGGTGGGACAAAAATAATTTAGACAAAAATGCATTCTTTGTTTTTTCCTCCTTCATGTGGATGTGTTTGCACATCCATACTGCGTGCAACTTTATGTGGAGAGGGAAAACAGGTATCACAGCTTCAAAGAGCTCACATATTTCTCACATCAGGGAAATAAAACTCCGTGGGCAGTCTCTAATCATTCATGAAGCCTCTGAAAAGACCTACTATTATTATTACAAACAGTAGGTGGGAGAGGAAAGCTCTTGCACTCAGAATGCAGAGCAAGAAAGATACAGCTGCAAAGTGAACCTTGGCTGAAGGACTCAAACGCTACAATTCTCAAGAGGGTCTAGCAGAAACAAATGCAGAATTGTTATCCTTACTGTTATCCTTACTGCATGAGATTTTCTGTTGGTGGATTTTGTGAAACCCAGGTATTCTTGTATCTACAGAGTTGTTAAACAAAACACAAGAAAGCCACATAAAAGCTGAAGGTTTGAAACCCTTTTAAGAGGTTGCATTATTTTAAGCAGAACACTAAGTCCAAAAATGAGGCTGAAGAAATGAGTAGAGGAGGAAAAGGATCCATGTTATCTGCAGATTATTTGGCACTCAGAACAAGCCTAGCTATCCTCATCCCTAAAGAGCATGTCTCTGGTGGGATATTAGGTGGTAGACTTGGGCTATGTATATCATCAACAAAAAACTGCAAAAATGACTTGATGGATCCACAGTAGCTTTCAAGTGAACAGGATGAAACAGCATTTATACCATTTTTTTCCGGAATTTAGATTCAAGCTCCTGGTGCCTCCATATCTCACAAGTAAGCACCCTCTAGCTTCTTATCTCCATGAGCTTGAAAACATCTCAAAACTGGCGTAAGACACAAGAAAGGATTATTTTTTTTCCCCTGCAGCAGAAGATGTCAGTGGTGTAGTGGCCCCTATTTCAGGAAGGCTTTGCTCCTACAACCATCTTCCTATACATGTTAAACCACAGGTGTTCTACTATTAATATACATCAACAACTTGGTCACCGGAGGAGTGCATAGATATCACCAATAGATATCCCATCTGGTATCAGTAACAATCTTTCTCTACTCAAAAAGCACGAGACCGGGAATTTGTCTCCAATGTCACTGTAATCATGAATGCCCACTCAGCAGTTATATCTGATGACAAACATCCTCTTTCCAATGGCTCAAATGCATTATCAAGAGAGGTCACATGCCATACCAAAATTAAAGGAGAAAAAACCCCAAAGAGTCAAAAGAACAAAATATCACAAAAAAAAATGGCCATCTCAAAGTTACACTCCAAGAATTTGAAAGTGTCCTTTCAATGCTAAGGAAAACCTGCATGAAGAAATCTATTCAGTTCAGATTTTCCACACAATTTTGTGCTCTTACACTCAAGTGGTTCAGAGATCCTGAAGGGGAGGACTATGTTCTATTTTTCTCGGACAGTGTGAGATACAGCTGGGGTTGATATCTCCCACAGATATTTCATATGTCAAGAGGTTTTCTGTCTAACAGGTTTATAAACACTGTAGTCATAAAAATACACAAACATTTCAAGGAAAAAATGGCTACACACTAATCCTTCAAATCAGTAGGGTGCTGTTTTTGAACCCTGGAGAAATCAAGAAATATAGAAGGATTATGGATACTAGATACTCATCTCTACTATTTATGAGTCCATTAGCTAAAAACAGACTGAAATTAAAGTTTGGCTTCACTAAAAAAACAAGACTTGGTCAGATATGCTTCAACAGGCTGCTGAGGCCCTAAAAAATTAAAAAAGCTATCCACGAAGAGCAGCTTACTAATGTGATTTGGGAATCATAGCACTTTTTCTAAGCTAGTCAGACTACTGCTAGCAGAATGCAGAGGGACTGACTTTTTCCAGACAGTTCCCCACATCCATATTAGTGAATATTGCAATGGGTCAAGTGAACCATAAACTGCAGAGAAAGCATGCTATTTCCCTGGACAGGTAAAGAAGAAAGTGCAGAAAATTTAGTGCAGCTGTAGACATCTAAAATTAGAAAAGATTTACCACATTATATGTCTGTGAACAAACTTCACCGTGACTAGGGCAATGAAAATTAACCACCTTTGCAAGGGGTGTTATCTGCCATGGATAGTTGCTTTTCTCTTCCCTTCTCACAACTAAAATTTGAAGAATCTTTCAAAAGCAAGACTTAGAACACAGAAGTTGCAGATGAATTGGTTTTATTTGCTATGTTTTGCTAATTGATTAGTGTTTACTACGTTCTGCTTAATCTACAATTAGAATATCCTCACCAGACATTAGATGTTAATAAATCTCTCCTGATCATATGCATCATATGCAATCAGTTTTTCACAACATAAGACACCTGTTGCAAACTGCCTCTTGAACTGACACACAAACAATAACTAAGTATGAAGAGTCATTAAATCACTCCACTAGAGAAAAAAGCCTATTATAAAAATTAAATTAATAAATCATTAGAGCTGCTAGCTAAAGTTTAATAATGCTTCTCCCCATCAGTCAAAGTTAGAAACTAGAAATCTCACAAGGTAATAAAGAAGCCACCCTTTCAGTACGAAAGCAGTGTGGTAAAGCCTCATCAAGTTTTCTATGAGGGAAACTTCTAAAAATCTCAAGTCATAAATCAACTACACATCTTGATTTTAGAGATCCCCTCAACAGCAAAATGTCTCTCTCTTTCAGCCCGGAGCATTTTGACCTCCATCTCCCAGTGGAATATCTTTCCAGAATCTGGAGACATCCTCCACTGCCTGATTTTCAAGCTCACACTGTGCCACTGATCTCTTGGAGTAAGCATGACTCACTCCACATGCACAAATCAGAGAAACAGTGCTGTTTGAACCCATCTGTTTTCTTTTTCTTTTTTCTTTCATCTTCTTTAACTAACAACCTCCTTCCTGAGTCCTACAATATCAGACTCACAATATTTTATCATATGCCATAAAAAAAACCCCATTCACAGTATCCACAGTCTCAATACATTAACAGGATCAGCAGACATACAGTCTTTTGCCTGCCCAACCTTCCTGTTATATATGTTAGGGATTAGCACTTCCAACACATTAGGCTTAAATTCAGATTTTAAACATCTTTAAAGTCCTTAAAAAAATATGCAATATGTCTTTAAAACATGTTCCAAATATAAACAGGGTACATCAATATTCTTACAAACTAGTATCTCCAAGGTTATGGAGTAACATTTTGTATTGACAATTTTTGCTGTAATTATTCTGTATAATACATATTGATTCTAAAGGTTAAATATGTAAATTCTGCTTAAGGACCAAATTCTCAAGCACAATCCCATTACAAATTAATTAAGTGTTCCACTACTTCAAGCTTCGGAAAAAAAACGAAAGCTGTACACTGAAGACTCTCATATCTAGGTAAAAGAAATGCTACAGGCAACATGAAACATAGTTCAGCATAGCTGCTGAAACAGAGTCAGAAATTATTTGAGAAACTTACTATTTTCCAAGCGAAATCTTGGACAGATCCGGTTCAAAAGAAGTTCTTGTCGTAATCGAAGAACTTCAGCTTCCAGCACTTCAACTTTCCACTTCCATCCAAAATCTTGTTCAGACACAGTTTTGGCAAGGTGCTCAGTGTATTCTTTGGAACTCTTCCCTGGTGGTTTTGAGTGGATAATTGCAAAAGCCAATGCTAGTTTTGATATTTTCAAGTACCAAATTTGATTTTCTCTTCCATCTTTGATTTCTACTGCATTAGAAAAATAGAAAACAAAAACATTACTTCACTATGACTCCATTAAGGAAATTATGCACAATATTTTCTTGACTTTGAAAGCTATTCAACAGTGAGGCCAATTCTTTTATTCCTAATGCATTCCTAAATCATCAAGCAAAAGAGCAGAAATATAAGCATCTGTGCACAATGTGAGAATAAAACAAACATGAGCTGCACTCCAGCTATAAAAATAAAATTCAGGCAGTGTTTGAGAATAATTGTGGAAATAGCAAGCACTTCAAACAGGCTTACTCTAGCAAAATTTTAAATTCACATGCTATTTCCACTAAAACAAAGATGAAGACACTAAAAATACTAACATCAGAAAAAAACTTTGACACCCCCTCCCCCTCACAAAAAAAACCCCTAAGCCCCTGACTAAAGAAGTCATTGCGGGCTTATTTACACTTAAACACAATATATACAATTTTTTACCATAAGTTCACAGTGCTCAAAAGATAAAACTTTGAGGTTGTGTCTGGTTTTAGACACTTGGTGTTGCTGCCCTTGGAAGTTCCAAGTCTACATTAAACCTTCAAGCCTACAGAAAGTTCTATGCAGACAGTTGCAAGGTGATGCAAGTGACTAGTAAAATAAGTGAAGAAGGTAATTTCATCAGCTCTGGTACAAACAATGAGGATGGGGCAAAAGGCACTTGAGGAGTCAGAAAAAGAAAATATTTAACTAGAGGATTACGTCATGGGCAACAGCACAGGATTTAGGAACAGAAAAGGAAAAAAATAAATTAAAAGTAACTAAAAATAACTAGCCTATCTATTTATCAGTTATTTGTTTTTTCCTAATTCCCATCATTTTAATTCAGTTGTTTAATGTATTTTTTCTTGAAAAAATATTACTCCCAGATTAATAATAATAATAATAATAATAATAATAATAATAATAATAATAATAATAATAATAAAACCTCACTTCCTATACTTTTGTCCTGGCCTTGAAAATCTAAACATTTGTTAAAATACTATTTTTTTTCTTGTTATCCAACAAAACTACATGCTTAGCACTATAACGTCGTGTTGAGTAGCTCTGAAATAGTTGCAGTACAGGTTTGAATAAGGTATTTTAGGTCCTCCTTTCACCAGATCATCTGCTATCACTAAGCTGATTTCTCCCTTTGGTTCTCTTCAGCTTTGGATAGTAAGTCATAAATCATCATATACTCATTTATCCATCAGGGACATATACAGAAAGCACCGCCTTTTTAATATTTCTTTCACCTTTCAAATACTTCTGAAATGCTCAAACAATTCTTGCACACCCCTTGCATGCCATCCATTCGGACACTTTGAATTGTATAGAGCACAAAGGACAAGACTGCAAAAATTCCTTGCGATTTATTTACCTACAGCTATGCTTTAGGCTACTGTTCTCCACTTGAAACACTCCATTCCTGATCTGAGACAGAACAAAAACACCTAATCTAAGCCACCAGTGCATTCTTAAATCTAAGAATAAGCCCTCAGAAACTGAACATACTACATATGCCCACTACTGGAAGCAGTTATACATTAAATGGTACTTTCTGCAAAATTTCTTACAAAAAAATTATTTCACAAAACTTTTCAATTCATATTTAAGAATTCCAGAGAAAAGCAGAATTCTCTCATCCTCAAAGAATTAGCACTCCTCTGGGACAACTAACTGGTGTAAGACTCTTGTTTGCCTTATACATCAAAGGACATGTTTACAAATTCAGAACCATGCAATTAACTGAACTGCCTTCAAAGCTGTGAATAAAACTAAATACATGGAACCACACTGAAAGAAGAGTAAATAGTAACAGTAAGGTATTCAAAATACTCAGCAACAAACCCACAAAGTTAGCTGTCTGCCACTGATATATTACCACTATGCTACAAGTGAAAAGTATGAAATACTACTTTGGTAGCATTTTTTCACCACTTATTACCAACATAGAGACAGGCATTTTTTGAATTTGTTTTAAAAAGGGACTACAGTGTTTTAAGCATAAAAAACCCCTAGTGCACGAAGTAATAACAAAACATAGATGAGCAAAAGGATATTTCACCCACAGCATTCTAAAATACCATTTTCTAAAGGAGATGTATCCCTAATAAATCACATATACCAACCATGGTTTCTTACCACCTATTTTTTCTTTAAATCACAATCCTTAGAATTTCAAACAGCATTCCACCTTAATACTTAGGACATACATTTAGTTAATGACTGGTTAATAAATATTAGTTAATAAAATTTAGTTAATAAGTAGTTTGGACTTTGAGGGAGGCTTTTTCCTCTAACATCTTATACAGACTCCTACAGTAGGAGTATGTTACACTGAATGAGTTTAAGGAGATATTTTTACTCTGGAGAAAAAGAATGACTACTTTTCTAGAATAATTACTTGTGAAGATGCTGTTAAAAAAAAAAAAAAAAAAAAAAAAAAAAAAAAAAAAAAAAAAAAAAAAAAAAAAAAAAAAAAAAGGACAGATCACAAAGCTGGTTCTCCTTAGAAACAAGACACAATCAAAGGAGTTTTTGGAGAAGTCATTCTTTAGGAATTTTAAAATCTCTCATCTAAAACCAGATAATTAATGAAAAATAGCAATATTCCTGCATGTACTTCCAGAAAGAGTAGATTTCTCAAAGATTTTATGGAGAACATACAGCTCTCTCGCCTCCTTTCTGTTACTGTCACTGTCACCATCTCTCTTTGCTGCTTTCATGATCATGAAAAGAGAAGCTTGTTTAACGAAAAGCAAGAGTTCTACGGGCTGATTCAGGTTTTTCACTGCTCTCTCAGAAACCACTGTAAAAGTCCTCTAGAAAATAGCACACCGGATGATGCTGTTAGAAATACAGGGATGCTGGCCAACCATGCATTAGCAAAGATTTCACAGCAATCTGTTGCTCTCAGGAAGTGCTGCATCACCAAATGTAAATACATTCCACTAAAAGCATATTGGCAGCTACAGAGTTGTATCAATAATATTTTTGCTCCTATCAACATAGAAATTACATCAACGCTTAGGTAGAAAAAAAGTTTTAGACCAAACCAAAAACTTTCCTTTACTAGGAATAGTACGAAGCCAAGAGAAGAAAGAAGTCACTAGTCTAGTCCTAACTGCTAATGTCAAAATATGTACAACAGGAACGGAAAGGATCAAGAATTATCCTCCAAAAAATAACTGATACTGAGTGTTACTCAGTAGGAGTAACTACTTACACACAAAGCTCTATTTGTGTGCTTATTGAGTGTTAAGGAGAGAAGCATTAACACCTTGCAAACTGCCAGAAGCAGGGCACAGCACAGATACCACCTGGTGAGAGGTTCCCCATGCAACCCCCTTCCACTCCACAAACTGATACTGGAAGTGCCCTCAGAGGACCTGATGGGTTGACATCAGGTCAAACAGGACTGGGACTCCAGATTTCCAACACAAGGAGAGACCTCCCTGTCTCCAGCCTTCTAACTCTCCTGCAGGACTCACAGCCTTGCTGAGATCCTAGCCATGGAAGGGTGCTGAGCAATTATTTATCTGCAGAAATAATTAGAAAATAAGTCATGAACTGTCCTGTACAGCTCTGTGTTACATAACCAAGGGGAACAGAGACGAGGTGTAAGATTCTTTGAGGACCTCTGATATAAACAGGCAACAAGACACCTTTCTGGTAAGTCCCACCTTGGTTTTGACACGGTCTGAAACATGTGAAGAGGAAGTAATTCCCACTAATTAGAAAAAAAAAAAGCCCACTCCACTAGTTTCAGAGGGTCACATTTTTGGTTTGTTTTCTTCTCAGTCTGAACTTCATATATCTAGCCCCATGCCAAAGGAGAAAGGTTTCACATTATTATTAAAAAACATAAAGAATTCAAATCGGTCATTATGATCAAAAAAAGGAAAATGTTCATTAAAGCCATGAAACTTACATTTAAACTTAAGCCATTCATTAGAGTAATATTAACAACCTATAAAATCTCCTATTTCCTGTAGGAAACAGGACCTGTACCCCCACAAAAGGACTGCACCTCACTAGTAAGTGGTCCCCACTTTCTTAGCAATGACTTCTTGTCAAAGTCTGGAAGCTAAGGTTAAACACATGACATCTTCAAAAACAAGGACAATTCCCTGAACCACTACAGGCACAAAGGCATCCACTCGTCCCCTAGCCCTCTCCACTCTCTCAGCTGTCAGAAGATAATTTTCTGTCTCTTACTTCAAAGTTTCTTTTTTTTTTTTTCTCCACTGTTAACTACACACAACTGAACAACTCAGCCCTTGAGTGCACGTTTTCTGGTGTTGTGTTGTGGTTTTTTTTGTTTGTTTTTTTTTTTTTTTTACCCAGTGCCAGAACGCACTAAAATCAACAACAGGTTGACAGGGATAACTATAATTTTCTCTCTAACTGAAGTGCAGGGATGATCCATCCCTTCATTATTCTTTGCATTAATACATGAACTAGAGCAACTGGTCTCCCAAAAAGGATTAACCTAGAAAAAGGTGCAGTTGAGTTTGCAGTCAGACCAAAATGGACTGCTTCCTGAAGAAAAACCCCAGTGATCTTGGGATGAGCCTCCCCCAGCTTCTGGGCCCATGTCCACTGGAGTTCCTCAGCCAGTTCTGGGTTTCTCTACCTTGAGGAACCATAATATGTGCTGCACCAAGACATCAAACGATGAGCTACTCAGTTTGCACAGGTGAATCCTCAGCTCTAGAGCTTTTCAGAAGTCTTTTAGGGGTCTTTATGGGTAAGGCAGGTGAATTTTAGGCAGGTGAATTTTAGACAATTTACCTTTCTGAGTGGTACACAGAGTTTTCTGACTGATGTTGGAAACAGACAAGTCACAGAGAAAGGGGGGGAGATGGCTAAATTATACTGTGATTTAAAATTATAAGGTCTCTCAACATAAACCTAAAACCTAAACTTGTTTGAAATAATTAAACATTGGAGTAATATTCATTAATGTCAAAGAATTGCAGATCTTAAGCATGATTTCTAAGTTTGACCATGAAATTCATGGCAAATCATGGAAGAAACTGCTGCAAATGTTATCAACAAAACCTAATTGCTTACAACAGGACACTTACTTGTTACACAGATCACTATAATCTGAATTTTAAAAATAATTTTAAAAATTATTAGTATAAGACATGAAATGGACTGTAACTCATTTAACTTCCAGGCCATTCAAGTGCTCAGTTTTCTTCACATTTGAAATTTTTATTTGAAAAGAAGGGGATTTGTCAGGACAAACTGCCATTCATCACTACTGCACAACTAAAAATCTTCAGACAGCCCTAAATATAAAAAATAAAAAAAATTGCTTTTCCTTCTAAATTTAAGCATATGATCTGTCCTTAAAGGTACAAACATAAAAGGAAAAATTGATTTGTTGCCATGATTTTTACTTTAACTCGTCTGTCAATTACAGAGTGCAAATAAAGGTGAAAAAATTACCCACATCTCTGTAACCTCATTCTGCTTTATACAGTAGAAACCAAGACATTGACTCACTATGATGGAGCAATAAAAACTCTACAAGTGCTCCAGTGGAACTGGGCTGAGCTGCAGACACATAAGGCCATAACATTAAGCAACAATAAAATAAACTTGATTTAATTGGTATGTCTAGCATAACACTGTCATCCATGTATATAATAAACAATGATAATGGGACAGCTGCATAATCAAGATGAACCAAAATATGCCTTGTGTTCCAATTATGCAACTTTTATTGTAAAAATGTATATTAAACCACAGCTGTGGTTAGTTGTGTTTTAAACAACCTATACTCATAACACACAAAGTTATGTAATGTGGACATATTCACTGAGCAAAGAACTTGCTTTTCCTAAAAGAAGTCTAAACAATAACTCCAGCGTATTTTTTAATGGTGCAAAATGCTGAAATAATATTGAAAATAATAAATACTTAAAATAATTTATGCCAAAAGCATGAGAAAACTTAATTAAAATGTAGCATGATTTTTTCTTCAAACTATTTAACTTCTGATTGAGTTTCTAAAAGTTTTACAAATTCTCCAAAACCAAACACAACGAATGAGTTGAAAAAATATTTTAGAGCTTATTAACATTCCCCATTTTAGAGAATTTAAGAACATAAGCATAATCTCTCAAGATTTCAGTAACATTTTAGAGGTAGGATTCATCTCCTCTTAACTCTTAACAGAAATCTAAAATTTAGAAGGTTACAGCTGCCTAGACTTCCTTTACTATCAATGGGCAGAAACAGAGATTTCAAAAGTTAAAAATAAGCCGAGTGACTTGTACATCTACTGTGTGAAGTTAAGTCGTGACCTAGAACCATTTGTTTCCCTTCACAGACTACACAGTGTTAAGATGACTCGATCAGATGCACACGTACCATGGACAGCCAACTGCAGTGAGATGAGCTGCTGCACCACAGCTAAAGCTGAGACCTTCAAAAAACTATTTAAGTGACCAACTAACAGGAGAAATTTGCAGAAACCAGTACTTTTTAAAAGAAGTTTTTAATTCTAGATCTTTTGAACATCTCTAGGAATAAAAGCATTCTAGAAGAAAAGCCAAAGATCACAGGAAAAAGTTTGAACCTTGTGAACATATGAACATTTTCAATGCACAAACAAAACAGCAGACAGGTGCAAGGTAAAACACGAGGACAGGGTGATCAGACTCAATCATTTCAATTCACTGACATTAGAAATACTCAGTTTCAGGTAAAAATAAGTAACTCTTTACTATTCTGTCATACCTGGATATTTATGCAATCTTTTTTTTAACAGGCAGAGCACTAACACCACTAATTGAATCCCAGAATCTATCCAATACACAACAATGCAGTGTTCTTGTGGTTTGGGTGAAATGAACATGAAAAAAACCCTTCAAACTTGTATCAGGAAACTAGGAATCTGAATAAATATTGAGAAAAGACACTCATATTCTTCGTTATCAATAACCAAAGCAGTGCAACTTTCATGGGAAGGCTTTCGTTTCCTTCCAAATAAACCAAATAAACTCAGCCTTTCCACAAGAAACCTCTCCTCCAACACCTGAGGCTTGCCACGCAAGGCCTTCTGCACAGAGAACCAGGCAACTCTTCCAGGGGAACCAGGAGTGCCAGGGGCTGTCCCAGGGGAACCAGGAGTGCCAGAGGGTGTCCCAGGCAGCCCCCAGACCCACGCCCCTGGGCGCGGGGTTTACTCACGGGGTATGTCCCCAAAGGCCAGGGGCACCCACTGACACCGCGGGGTGGGGGCATCTCCTCAGGCTGCTGCCTCCATCCCGCAGCCTGCTCTCACCCTCCCTCACCTCCTCCTCGGGCAGCCCTGAGAGCCTCGGGCCCGACCCACCTGCCGCGGCCCCCGGCTCCATGGCGGGGGCAGCGCCCCCGGCCCGGGCAGCGGGGACGGGAGCTCACCGCCCCTGCTGGGGTCTGGAGTCAGGCACAGCGCCAGCCCCGAGGAGCTGCTCGATGCGGGCCCTCCGCGCCCCACTCGCGTTGATCTTGGCTACACACGGGCGTTTCCTGCGGCTGTTGGAAGAGCCTCCCTCGCCTCCCGCTCCAGGGCCGCCTCACTTGGGAAGGTACATGGAGGAGGGAGCCAGGGAGCCCTGCGGGAGACATGTGAAGGGCCTTTGTGCCGCCGGAGAAGGAGGGGCTGCAGCCGCGGGCCCTGCGGAGGGTGCGGGCCCAGCCCGGGGCGCGCCGGGCGCTTGGGCTTCGCCTGCTGAGGGGCGAGGTGTGGGCGCTCGCCATCGGCCGCGACACATGGGAGGGCCCCAGCGCTTGAACACTCTTTACTGCTGCAAATTGCATGAAGGTCTCTCGAAGTGTTTTGCCGGTCAACACAGGTCCCTGTAAACTTTTCTCATGTTTGGATATCTGAAGAGGAAATGAGATCATGAAACTTCAGAACAGTATTTCTTTAACAGTGCTCTGGATGTGGAAGCTGCCTGTTAGCTGAAACATTGTGATCAGAGCTCACCGGTCAAGAAATTAGCTTTGTGTGTAAAATTATATTCTCTACACAAACTGTGCTGAAAAGGCTGTGTTAAGGCTTCTCGGCCAGAAACGGAGTCACGGAACCAGAGAATGATTTCAGCTGGAAAAGACCTTTAGGATCACTGGGTTCAACCATTAACCCAGCACTGCCAAATCCCCACCACTAAACCATGTGCCTTAGTGACACATCTACAGTCTTAAATACCTCCAGGAATGGTGGCTCCACCACTTCCCTGGGCAGCCTGTTTTAATGCTTGACAGCCCTAAGAAATTTTTTCTAGTGCTGAGGAGGCTAATGTTGAAGAGGCTGAGTAAATTAACGTTAGTTAATTTACTAATATTGAGGAGGCTGAGGAGGGAGGACAGGAGGAGATATAAGGAAGAAATGAAGATGCATTAGGTGCAGTTAGTCTCATCACAATATGTCAAGATTTTAAGTAGAGGGGGATCAATCTTTCTAAACATGGGAGTTTTCAGATGTTTCAAACAATACATACTTTTAAAATTTGTACCCCCATTTCTTGCTCTTGGGTAATCTCAACAGCTTTGTTTTTATCATACTCTTTTTTTCAAAAACAATATACATAGTGGCAAACTTCTAAGCTAATGTACCTTTTTTTTTTTTTAAATTTAGCTTCCCAACTACTGAAAATTTTAGACTTCAAATGATAAATTAGACTGAATAATTTAGAGACTCTCTTCATTCTGACAGCACTACTTATTTCTCAGTGAAACCCAGGGGGAAAAAATAACAAAGCATTCTCTAGTCTTCTATTACAGTGACATAGCAGCAGCTCCACTTCATCATTTTCTGTGCATCTTTTGTGCATGTAAGTAAGTAATGCAGATACTTTGCAAAGTGGACAGGCATTTTGTAGATTGGAATGTCCATGTTTTCATATAATCTTTCCCACTGAGACTGAGTTAAAGATTCAGAGACATCAGTGATTTTACCTGCAAACCTATGGTCTGTATACAGATAGCTGAATCTAAAAAACAGAATTAGACAGAGGCAACATTATTACTGGTCTAAAAAAGAAAGTGGCTCTTCTTTTCCTGAGAGTACCTGTCCTGCTTGCAATTGTAAGCTTACTGAGAGACACCTAAAAATTCTGAGGCCTTCTACCATTACCTGCCTGGAAGGATGTTTTTCGCTGGATTATTTTGTGTTTAAACTGCATAAATAAAAAAAGAGTCATGTAAACTTAGTTTTAGATGGACAGGTCTTTTTTTTTTTTTTTTTTTTTTTTATTTGGAGCTAGTAGTAGTTAAAAAGAATGTACCTTAAACTTACAAAATTGTTGTGTGCAACTTTCAGAATACCAACCAAGGTTTGTTTTCAAAATAAGTTGAATATCCCAATATTTTCAAGGTAGAAAAAAAGCTGGTGTCCCCCCCTGCCAATAACAGAGCAATTCTAAGGACTTTTCATCTGAAAGCAGCAAAATCTGAACACATCACTGAGATGTATGCTCCTGTTTTATTGATGAACACTTTTCAAAAATAATGAATAGAACTTGTATTAACTTTATGCAGTGAGTATTCCTAGTGATTACATAGAATCATAGAATCATTAAGGTTGGAAAAGACCTCCGAGGTCATTGAGCCCAGCCTTTGACCGATCAGCAGTCTCTTAACTAGACCATGGCACTGAGTGCCACGTCCAGTTGTTTCTTGAACACCTCCAGGGACGGTGACTCCACCACCTCATTCCAGTGCCTGAGCACCCTTTCCCAGAAGAAATTCTTCATGATGTCCAAACAACATAACCTACAATTACTGTTTAATAAACGAGCAATGTGTTTGTGCACATGTATTTGTGCACATGTGCGAATTCATGTTATATCCAATAAATAAAAGATACTATTCCCATTTTTATATTCTAACATGGGGTGATTAACACTGTATGTCATCTCAATTGAAACAACAGTGAAATAAAGCTTCAGTTTGAAATAAGCTGTTTGCAGTTCATGAAGGAAGCTGATTCTACTAGTTGCACATAAATTCTTTTGATCTCTGTTTCTGAAGCTGTCTTTTGATCTCAAGAAGAGTCAGAAGATATCTTTGTGGCAAAAGGTCATACAAAATAATTAGCTGGTTTTATTAATAATTGAACATAAAAGCAGTGCAGGTGTTTAATCACATCAGAGATTATGAATTCTCAGTATTTAACCAATCCACGTGCTGAATAATTTCAGACAACTGAGTGGTCAGTTGAGAACAAACTCCAAAACCACAGGCTTCAATGAGCTGTTAAAAGTAAATGGATTACATTGCTGTCAGACATGCACTCCCTGCTCTTACTGGATGCCTTCTGTATCAATACCAGCTTGAGCATGAAAGAATATTTTTTCATTTGGAGAACTACAATCTGTCAGAATTTATAAGACATCTTTATATTTTAATGCATGTTTACTTACCTGAGAGCTGGAAGTGTCTGAAAACACATATAAAATATGCTGTCTCAACTATTGTAGTTGCAATTTTGTTTAGCTGATGTGGGGCGAGAAATACAGTGTCTTGAGAAGAGCACATGAAAATCATGAGCAGGAGCATCAATGTCTTCTCATTTGAACTTTTTTCCCTGTGTTACAGGGCTATATTTAATTAAAAATAAAAATTTTTGGCATCATGATTCTTCATTACTCAGCATCATGCTCTTTTCAAAACAGATTCTAATGTGTTCATGATGGCTCTATTTTGTGTGTAATGCTGATGACACGAGTATGGCTCAAGCAGCCCCTTTGAGCATAATCTGCAATTCTAAACAAGTCATCTGATTTAGAATGTTGAGGGAGATATACAATGAATTCTTTGTTTCTGTTCAGAAACAAAGTATTACCATCAGGAATAAAGGATCACACTTCAGTGTCTGATGCAATCAAAACCTCGAGCTACAAAAGCAATATATAAAGTTAGACATAATATGAGAACAGGGAAATTATAAAAAACTTGCTACCATTAAGAGGCAACATACATCAGTTATGAATAGGTACTTTACAGTACTTGATTTAAATGTTATCACTTAAATAAAATTAATAACAACAGTTTCCATTCCTTTCTTTACAGAATACACTAAAGAAAGATAAAAACTTTCCCTTGAAGAATTTCACCATCTGGAAATCAATACAAAAAGATTTCCACACCACCACGTAAGAAAAAGGGTAAAAGCAAGTAATCAGAATGATGTTTAAGAATAATGTGACAATAGCACATAATTTTCTGCATTTACATTTCATCATTTATCTAAGAGTAACAAAACAGTGTTGTGAGATGTTTCCCTTTATAGGTCAACAGATGTCCGAGAAGAAAGAAAACTTAGAGCAAGGAGATAGAGTTTTCATTTAATTTTGTACTTTTTATTGTAGTTCCACAAGGCTTTCTTCATGAAGTTTTTTAATAAGTAAAAAGATGAACAGGTAATTGCTGTGAAATAGCTAACTTAGTATATAGAAAATTCAGGTTACACTTCTATACACAGAACTTTAATCAAAGAACATCTGAGCAGCTCTCCCTAACTGCCTCATCATATAGGAAATTGAGTGCATTAAAATATCCACGTTATTCTGATTTAATTCTGAGACATTTTGATTGGTATTCCTCTGTGCAAGAATTGGGTGTCAGCTGAATCGTGGGTTACAATGTCCATTTATTTCTATTGACTCAGCTGGGTCAGGTGTAAGTTTTATGAAATGAGTTTCATTTCTTGTAACATACTCACGTTCATACACTAAAAATGCCAGATGCCCGCTTAAGGCACAGTGGTTGTGCTATTGCTTCTAGCTCCTCACCTGTCTAACCAGTTCAGAGCCTGAAGGACACAGAGTAAATTCTTTTCCAGGGGGAAGTTTGCACCTTTTTTTCCCCACAGGAACATTGCACCCAGCAATCACAGTGGTGTTCTGGAAGAGGTTTGCCTTGATTACTTTTGCCAAAAATTATCAGTTTTGGATGGAATTAAATAGACTTTAGGCTACAGGGAGCTTTATTATGGTGAAAGAGCAATTACCTGGCAGGAAGATAAGGGTTCCAGTTTTGTTTGCCTGCTTCAGGCACCAGGTATTTTTCTTCAGACTAAAATTTGCCCTATTTTCAGATAAGAAACCAAATTACCTTTAAGTGAGATGTTATGTATGATATCACATAATGTGTAGATATGGTACTTTGAGACATGGTTTTGTGTTGAAGTTGACAGTGTGGGGTAATATTTGGACTCGAGGATCTTAGAGGTCTTTTCCAACCTTAATGATTCTATGATTCTATGCTGTCTCAGCCAAAGAGTCATTCCTTTGATGGAAGAGCTGTAATAGCAGTGTTGGTCTTGATGATAGTCTTACTTGAAGTGGGACATAGGACTGACTAGACATCCTCCAGAAGTTCCTTCAAACCAAACCAAACCAAAGCATACCAAACTCAGACTGTTCTGCTCTGACCTTCTCCCCAGCCACCTGAAGATAGACTGTAACCTGGTGAATTGGGCTGCAAGGTGAGAGAAGTGGGCTTGAACGCTGACTTGGAAGAAATGGGAGCCAGTGTGCCACATTGTGGGTAAGCCCTCTGACCACTGGGTTATTGGACAGAAGCTGATCAGAGTAGTACAACCTGTATTTTGTAAAATTTTTACTATTTCAGACCTAAAGTCAGGAGAGGTTTTGGGGGTTGTG